TTTCCGATCCACTGGGACAGGTGTACACCCGTAGTGAAACCCACTGCCGTTTGATTATTGTCCATGAACATCTGGGGCACCGGAACAGCGTCCACCTCCAATGTCTTTTCTGTAAAAATATAATCCTCTTGGTCTTCTCCCTCTGGAGGGGGGTCCCGGGTGACTGGGTCCTTCTTCAGGTGGGTCGTGTTCTTTACTTTAATAAGCAGAGGCTTAAACAGGCTGGCTTGAAAGTGGGGGTGCCCGATGACTCCACCTCATTTTCCGAAAAGTCCCTTTAAGTTTCCCCTATAAGTTCTATCTCCAACACAGAAGACTGCCTCCACACAGAGGGTACTGGCGAATAAGATCTTTGGTAGACCATCGGCTCCCCCGAGGGTTGCCAATGCCCTTGAGGTATGGTCCTCAAGGCATCTCATGTTGAATACTAACACTGGTGGTTTAATTCTGATGACTTGTGAAATCCAGGCTCTCATAAAGGCGTGCATCTCCTGACTCTGAGGCTCTCCTCTGGGCTTAGCCCTGCTGCAGTGTGAGTGAAAGTTGCCTCTGGTTCAGTTCTTAACCCTACTAGAAGATTTCCTTCACAGTTCAGCTGCCACAAGCCTCTCTGAATGGTCAGAAATTTAAACCCCAGCTTCTGAAGTAATATGTGGGTCTTCCTGTAAATTTTGTTCATTAGAACCACTTGGTGACCAGGCCCTTAGATGCTGGCTATTATCAGCAAACTGCTCCTGTTGTAGTGCTTCCTGAGGGATTTAGCACAAATTAGGGCTGCTGTCAGCCATCTTGGAGCTCTTCAGAACCTTGTTAAATTCTTTATCCAAGGCTCTCTGCCTTCATGTGGCCTGCTTCTCCTCTGACCTGGAAGGTCTTCTTGGAGCCAGGGCTCTGGCCCTAATTCTGGCTGCAACCTCCAGACCAGCTGACCTGGGCTTGGCTGAGCCTTTGACAGCTCTATCTGTAGGCTGCTGAGTGCTGTCATCTCCTGATTAGATTCCCTGGCAGCCATTTTGTGCATGCCAAAATCAACTGTCAGAGAAATAAAAGAAATAAAAATAAAATGCTCTCTGAATAAAAGGAAAAAATAAAGCCTTAGGCTAGCTGCGATGGCAGAAGCAGCTTTCAACAGCTCCAGGTGGCAAATGCGGCCAAAGAAGCTGGCAATTAGCTCAGTGCAGCTCCTCTAAGCAAGGCAGTTCAAAAGCCCCAGAAAGTAAAACGGACTTTTCACTGCAGATGGATCAGGAACTTGCAACCTTAGAACTGGCTGCACCACAGTTTAATAGGCAGACTTAAGTGACTCGTAGCTGCCGCGGTGCTCTGGGGAACTGTTAAACTGATCTGGATATGAAATCCAGATCAAACTCCCCCAAAAAGGCAAGCCTGGACGACGACAGGACTTGCCAAAAAGCATAGCCACTGTCAAAATGGCAGTCCTAAGCGTTTCACGGCTGCCGTGGCTGTCAAACAAACCTCAGAGTCAGACTGAAGTACCAGACAAAGACTCCAACCCCAGCCCGGACCACAGGGACTCTCAGGGGCACTCTAGGTCCTCAATTCCGTTAAAACCACTAGCACTAGTAAACAATTTAAAAGGAAAAAAATAAAATAACTGTAAAAATAAAAGGTGTGGAAAAAAACCAAAGCGGCTGAGCCGATAAAGTTGGACAGCTGTCAAACCTCTCTCGACAGTTCAACCCTCTAGGAAAATCCAGGGGGTAGAATGATTCTTCCAAAAACTAAATAATTCATACCCCTTTTTGGGTTGTCTCAATGAGCTGAGACCAAGTGAAGAACTGGGGATCGTTACCAGGGGGCATGTTCTCAGAATTCAACTTGGCCTGTAGAGCAACGAGTCTAGACACTATCCAACCTTGATTCTCCTGTCGACTCAATGGAGAATTATGGAATATGAACTTGATGAATTCTCATGGAACCATTCTGTAGCACAGAATGTCATTTAATTTATCTCACTATCAAAAACTCACCAATAAAGATAATCCACAGGTGATGCTACATTCAGGCAAAAATACACTATGCATTACTAATACATTTACTAGGTAGTGTTGATTGAGTTGATGGCAATGCCCAACAAGTTATTTCTTTTATTTTGATTAAGAATTTTTGAAGTTACTCTATAAATCACTTACAACATTTTAGGCACTGTATTGTTTTTTTGTGTATCATCCATGTTTCTAAATCATAACACTGATAAAACATAAGCAATTGATTCAATTATTATCAGATGCCCAGTTTGTTATTTCAACTATTAGAAAACTGAAGACTGGATCAATGAATTTTAAAGTAGAGGAAACTGTTTTGATCAAAAAATTGACCCAAGAAGAAAGAGCTATGCAGAATACATTTAAATCCTTAACATCATATATAAATGTATGCATAATTAGACATATATCTTCCTCATTTCCTTTTGCATTGTTTTAATTCTTCTGTTTTATTTTTTGACACTGGTTTAATTTTAAAAAAATTATAGCAATTCAAAGTAAGTCTACTTTTCTTTTACACATTTAATGGCTTATTATCTCCACTCAAGAATCATCTGAACTGTGAGATGAGCGGCAAATAAATTTGATGAATAAATAAAATCTTAAACCTTTCTCCAAGGAATTTTATGATAGCTTACAATAATCTTGTTCATATATGTATGATTGAAAGCCCCACTTCACCCAATACTATTTTATACTATCAATTAGCATGTATTTGAAGCCAGAAGTTTAATTTTACAGAATCTTCACAGAATGAATATTAGTACAAAAATTATATGAATAATTTTTATAACACAGAATAAATTGATTAACACAGAAAATAACCAACCAACAATGGAAAACCCCCAGCCTATAAGGCTAAACCATCTAGTTTGCAATGTTCTGAATGATATCCCTCCCAAATATTTACCTACTCATATCCATATTCCTATCTTAGCTTATTTTACCAATCCTTTGCCTATGCCCATCTTTTCTCTTCAAAGGAAAATAGTGGGACATATTTGTCATTTTCATTCCACATAGAAAGGATGAATCACAGGTGAAACAGGAGTTGTCTGTTACATCCCATAAAAAGGTATCACATTAGACTGCTCCTGCATACTTTATCCATATTCTATTCCTCCTGCAGAAGAAGTGAGGTCCTAATGAAGAGCCTCAACCAGGACCTGCAGACATGGTTCCCAGTCAGGGAATGCAGACAGCACTTCTTGTTTCCCTATGGCTCTCTCATATAAGAAATATGAGGCACAGTGAAATTATGAAATTAGAAGATGCCACATGTATTATGATCTAATGTTGAGGTTGTATTAGCAACATTAGCATCTCTTTCTATCCTTTATTTTTTCTAGTTATTTGGGGGAAAAGAACAGAATGAAAAACAAAAATACTACAAATATAGTGCATTTCATTTTTCTCATTTTCCACTGTTTTACTATAAGGAATTTTGACCATAAAACATGATACTGCAGAACGTATTTTAAATATTAATCATGTTGCAAAAGTTAATAGCAAATTTAAAAAATGAAACTGAATTACAACTAACATACATGTAATTTAACATGTAACTCTTATGATTCCTCTCTTAAATTAAAGTCATGCATTACACTAACCAAGATCTCTAGTTTATCACAGTCAGGATTTTCAATCTTTATTGAGAAAGTTAAAATTAATTTTAATAGAAAATATGCCAGACTGCAGAATTGTTAACTACTTTGTAATGCTTTGGTGTGATTTGGGGGGGGGGGGGATATTTATTAACAGAGCAAGAATAAAAGCAAGCACTATTTGTCAGAACTTTTATATAGCCATAGCTAAAAATAGTATATAATTCACAAGCAGATTTATTACTAAATACATGTTTCTTATTTTCAAAATGTCAGAGTTGCCATTTTAATATATTTTTATCAATGACATACCACTTTAGTTACTTTAAATATCTTGGAGATAAGTATTTTTAAAAAGCTTTTAGTTAATCTACAAACATATACAATAGAATATATACTAGCGTTGTTAAGTAAAGAGAAAGAATTACTGCAGCCTGCAGCCAACAAATGGAATATTACTTATTAAATGCTTATGTAACTATTAAATGATAATAGACCACATCCAATGAACTAAATCTGCATTTGTAGAGAGTTGGGGCTTTCAGAACTGGTATATTATGCTTACAGTCCAGAATGGAATAGTTTATCTCTATACCTTTGATCTGGGACATGAATAAATTCAGACCATTATTTTCTTAAATAGCTCATATTTCAAAAAACTTTCATGAAATCTCTTCTTGTATGATTTCAATCACTATTTTTAATAATTATCTTCTATTTAATTTTGGAGTCTCACCATAACCAGATACCTTTGAAAGTGTCATGGGTGTGACATTGCTATGTTCCTTGATAACTAATATGTGGCACATCAACTTCATGTTAAAAACAAGAAGTTCCACCAGATATGCTATATTCTGATCATTAGATTTTTAAAAGATTCAAACAAACCAGACAAACGTTAAAGTATGGCAACAAGTATGATCAAGGAACTGAAATTTAAATCTTACATGGAGAAACTGAAGAAATTAGATATGCGTTTGACCTCACATAGGAAAAGATCAATACTTGTTTTACCTTCTAGAGGGTATGACAGAGAATAATGGTTTTAAATTACAAGTAGCCAGATTGGAGATGAATGGTTTTTTTAAATAAATGCTCATAGTAATAACAATTTGACAATAGAACTAAATTACCAAGAAAGGTAATGAATTCTCCTTTCCTGGATATCTGCACAAACACTGATAAAAATGTTTTAACTTAAATTTCTATATTGAGCAATATACTGAATTCAATGTCTGCTTCCAACTGATTCCGTAAGTACATAAAACTATTCAAAGGATAACAATTATCACAGAAAAATAGCTATTTATGAGCTAAAATTAATTAAAAAGCAAAGTATATTGTAAATAATCCCAAAACATTTTTACAGATTTTTGAAATTTAAAGTTACCTGTATGCATCGTCTTCTTTCAAATTTCATACCATCCTGTAGGGTGGGGGGAAGAGGCCAGCAGCAAACCCTTTAACATAAAGAATAATTAGTCAGATGACATCAAGAGAATCCTTTAACAGGCTATGATCCTGCCGTTAACAAGTCATGCCAGTACTAGTTATTACTATGAATAAAAGCAGATGTCCAAGGTCTCAGGAAGAAGACTTTCATACATCTGTGTATCACACTGAATTATGCAAAAGATTCTTCTCCATATTATTAATTTGAAAATTCATGGTCTCCATATGGGGAAACACAAGCTATTCCTCAAAGTTATTAAAACATACTAAGTAACCAGGGAAAGTTTGGCAAAGCATTACTTACATGTACAATAAAATTCAGAATGACATCATGTGACATTCAATAATATTTACAAAATATTTTTAATTTAAAAATATTTTTAAATGGACCTCAATCCCTAGTTTCCTTCTTCTAATGTATTATTATTCCATCCAGTTTTAATGCCTATTATGCATGTTTTCATACCATAGTCTGACTCTCAAAGTTATTATTTTTAAATGGGAATATATTCTTTTAGACAAAAATCTTGCTTGGATGTTATCTTTCAAACTCATCTTGATCATACTTCAACTAATAACATAGGCAGCAGACATACTAAAGTAATTGTGAAATGCTTTTTTCTTTTTTAGAAGAAAATTCTTTTATAAGAATTATGGAATTTAGTATTACTAACAATCAGGCCACAAAATTCTGGCTGTTGCAGCACCACAACTTGCAATTTGGCTACATGGTATTAGAAATAAGAATAAATAAAATGTAGATGAAGAGAATAGTTAAGAAGACAGTTGTTCTATATACATTTGCTATCTTGATGTAATCCTGCTGAAAATATATTTTCTAACTCATTGTTAAACATGTACCTACGATCAATTACACCCTTCTGTATCAAGTAATGCCACCCCATTTCCTCCAGGAATTGGTACGTAACAAAAGACCAAAGTGATCAATTAGGAGGACAATAGAAGATAATAAAAGATAAACATTACCATAACTTTCTTGATCAGTTGAAGTTAGATTTTGTTTTTCAAAGCATCTGCTTAAGTTATAACCAGAGACTTTTACTTTGCATAGGTAAATATATTAAAGATGCATATAATCATTATGTTGTTCTAAGATGACTGGAGAGATGTGCTGAATGTAACAGTGTGGTGTTAGAAAATAGATATTTCTTTGTTCTCAGGCTGTTAGAAAGAGGCCCTGCTGAATGGACATTCCTTAATGCCATGTAAGATAAGAAAAAGCCATGTTGGCAAAATATGTGATGGGTGGTCATTGGGAGGTGTTGAAGGAGATGATGTTGTCTCCATAAGGCGTTTCGGATTAGCTGTGTTCGGTCACTGGGTTGGATGTAGGAGGGGCATGGGGGGCGTCGGGATAGAAAAACTATAAAATGTAATGTTCTGAAATCACCAGGTGTGGTTCTTGGCTAAAACTTCATGTTGAGGTCAGGTAAGATCCTACTGCTCTTTGCAAACAGCTTTTTCCTTTTTCATGCTTTAATTTAAGCTTACAAATAAAACCTCTGTTTTCACCAATCCAACTTCTTGTTATCTGGAGTCATTTCCAACTATTGGTGGAGAATGCGGGCAACTGCTCTCTTCTGATGCCCTGGATGGCAGAGTCGGGTGAGGAAGGCATACCCCGCTGATTTCAATGGTCCACAGTCAGCTCTGCTGTTCAGGAGCATGGAACGAGACACAGATCCGTGTTTAAAATAGAGGTCGGTTGAAAACAGAAAGGGGACCAGGTTTATGGGATTGCCGGAAACCACTGGGCAACTCTGCGCGCAGACCTAGGGGTAAGTACTTCTGGTCAAGTAAGAACACACTCACTAGGAAATTTGGGGTTGGGTAGGACTGTGAGAACCTGAGACTTGTGTGAGAGGTGTATGGATGAGAAGACCCTAGCAGTCCTTGGGTTGTATTGAAGATCAAATAAAGGTCTCTCTATAGGTCTTGATCTTTAAAAAGTTAGCATTTGCTGGGAGATTCAGGTAGAAAGAGAAGAGTTTGGAATTTTAAAAAGCTAGCGCTTGATGGGAGATTCAAGCTCTCCAGGGCAGAGACAGACCTTTAGTGGCAGTAAGGGGTGTCTTTTGCTCTGGCCAGGTGCCAACTTGTGTATGTACGAAGGTCTCACTGGAACAAGTTGGTAAGGATTGCTCCAGTCTGGTAACCAACCATGAGCATGGGTCTCAAGGGAAATGTGTGAAGATGATTCAGAAAAATCCAAAATTAAAAATTGATCCTTCAAGTCCCCTAGGGCAATTGCTTGAAGGATGGGGAAAACCACCCTATAGAAAATTAATTACTAAATTGGGTATAAATAAAGAAGATATGGTAAATTTGTGTTGTTTTGTTTGGTGGGAGGATGAAAATTTAAGTTGGCCCCTTTTAGGAACAAATGATTATTTTGTTTGTAATAATTTGTATGAATATGTAAAGGATAAAGAGTGTAAGATACTAGAAAATGAAATAGATTATACTGATTTGGAACCCAGACAAATGGCCCCAAGAAGAGCCAAATTATTTATGGTAAATCAGAAGGAGGAAGACACGGGAAGTAGGAGGTATTTACCCCCTCCTTATAACTGAAACACTGTCCCTGCAGCACCACCAATGCCTTGTTATCTGGAGTCATTTCCAACATTGACAACCAGCTCACCTGACAGTTGCAGCATCTCACAATCACATGAATGTCATTTGAGATCTCCCTATGACTTCTCAGAAGCAAAATCAACAGAGAAGCTGGCAGGGAAGGTTGCAAGTCACTCTGATAAGTCCTTCTGGCTTTCCTGCACTAGTGTTGTGTCATCCACTCCTAAGCCTTTCTCATATGTTCCACACCTCAAAATTTTCTACATTTGCTGCACTGCAATACTCCACTTCCCACCCACCCACATCCTTGAATATTGGATTTAAAAATGGTAACCAGTATTGCTGGGATTGTTGTCGCTAAGTAATGCAATCATGTGAAGTCATGCTTTATGACTGCCTCACTTAGTGACAATTAAGCCTGTCCCCGATTGCTGTGATAACCTAAGGACTACATATAATACCTTCAGAGTCAGCATATTGCTAGAATTTTTCTCCATAATTTCACACATATTATAGACAAGGATTTTTATACTAATATAAACTAAAAGCAATCTAAACATCAGCAATCCATATAATTTTAGTTTTAACTTGTTATTTTAATGAATTATCACAATTCACTTAAAAGTTATATTCCCAATTCCACTAAGATTTTAACTAAAAACCAAATGTTATTTTTTTTTGTCATTTCAGATGTTACACATTAACTTTCAGTAACTAAGATATATTAAATACTACAAGCATAAAGCTTTCAGACAGTTTAAATATTATGGAATAAACATAGAAATGAAGTAAAAATACAATTTAAAGCTTCTCATACATTCAGTGAGTAAGACCCTATGACAGTGATGGAAAACCTTTTGGGCCCCGAGTGCCCAAAGTGCACACATACCCAAAATGCAAGGTGCCCCCCCATGCCCCCACGCATGTGCATATGGCCCTCCATGCATGCGCACACACACCCTGCATGTGCCCCACCTGTGCATGTGTTCCCGCCCCCACACATGCGTGGCAGAGACCTGAAGGCCAGCTGGTTGGTGGGAGGCGCAGGTGCATGCACGGTGGAGCTGAGTTGGGGCAATGCCACATGTGCCCACAGAGAGGGCTCTGCGTGCCACCTGTGCCATCCATGCCATAGGTTCGCCATCACGGCCCTATGACAATGAGACATTAACAACATATATAACAATAGCACTTAAGACTTATATACCACTTTATAGTGCTTTACCGTCCTAAGAGATTTACAAAATTAGCATATTGCCCCCAACAATTTGGATCCTCACTTTATAACCGTGGAAGGATGGGAGACTGAGCGAGTCTTGAGCTGGTGAGGATCGAACCCCTGGCAGTCAGCAGATTTAGCCTGCAATAATGCATTCTAATCACTGCATCACCATGGCTCTTATATGGCACTTTTACTTATTAAGTAGATTGATTTTAGTTCTGCCCCACCAAAAACACAATTTATCAAACCATTTTCACATAGTTAAAAAAAAAAAATCTACATGCGACATTATAGAAAGGGGACAAAAAGACATTTTTTTCTTCTGCTTCTGAAATTAACTGCTCAAAATTTGGGGGGCATGGAATAATCATTTGGGGATTACTTTTAACAGTAATAACTCCCTTTTTACGGCCCTGTAGTTCCTTAATTCAGGACAGAAGTGGACGACTGGATGGAGCTGAGCATTTATTGACTGGATGGCCTTCCTTATGAATTGAACTCTCAACCTTTCAAGGCGAACATCTTCAACACTAGGCCACCACACCACTTGTTTTTAACATTAATGTAGGCTAAAAATGTTATAAATGAATCAAAACAACCATTATTCAATATAAAATATATACAGTAAAGTGTAAGACTACAGCATTCTTCAATTATTTAAAAAACAATGAGTCAATCTTTCAGAACTAAGTATCTGAAAACGTTTTAAAATTCCTTTGTCCCTAAACACTGCCCATGCATATTAGTTGGAGTTTTAATTCAAAAACTGCAAGGTGTAAGGTTGGAGGCCCTTAGAATATGATTGTTCACAGGTTTGAACAAAATATATTAATATAAGCAATCCTTGGTTTAAAATTAATCCTTAACAGCATCCTTAATGCTTACTAATAGCATTCTGTTTATAGATGCTATTTTACAAAGTGGCAAATAAACCTATGGTTTGAAAGTGACTTAATGAATATTAATCATAGTTAAGACTGAGACAGCATACTATACTTAATCTAATATAAAAACTTCCAATGTTCTCCTCGTAGTCACATCAGAGGAAAGAAGATGGAAAAAAGTCACATCAGAGGAAAAAAGCCTAAGGCTCACCTGCATAATTCTGAACTATAATTTAGCAGTCCAACAAAATAATCATCAGCAATTTTTGTATACAAGAAATCAGTCATGTTGCCTTAGAATTCT